AGTGACTTTGGCAGAGCAGCTCTGGGACCCAGCCTAGGATCTGATGATTGCCTCATGAATTACTTACCTTGTGGATTATCCAGAGCACATTTTAAAATTCAGCCTGGTTTCTACCTACTGATTAGCACATTTCAGAGTGACCTCTCCCACAGTCAGGTAGCCAATGACAGTAATTCCTGTTTATTGAGTATTTAGCTTGTGCCACTGTCTGCATGTCACGTCCTACAATCATCATAGCCACCCTGGGAGGAAGGTGTTACTATTCCCGTTAGCAAATGAGGAAACTAAGACTTAGAGGATTTAACTTATTTGTCCAAGTAAACCAACAAGTACTCAGGAAGGGAAAACGAATTTAAACAAGAACTCAAATAAATATAATTAGGAAGGCACATTTTTTTTTGGGGGGGGGGATTCCTATAGTGCATTCATAAATTACATATGATGTGTTTTAAAATTCCTCACTATTTCCTTCTTTTCACCCCAAAGTGACTGTTTTATTAGGCACTTGGGAGTTGGTTTTCTTTCTGTTACTGTGGTAGAAGTATAGTTAAAAGGGCTCTGTACACCTCACATTAGATAATAAATATGTTTGGAGTATTTTATACATCACATATTTCAATACTGTGGCGATATTGAAATCTTTAAGCTAAAAATGAGATGATGAATTTGTCATTCCACTAAGTGAATAATCTTGGTTGGCTATGGTGGTGGTAGTAGGTGTTTTTTGTTTGTTTGTTTGTTTTTTTTAAGAATTATTTATTGTTTCTTGTTTTTAAATTTTTGTTATGGGGCTCATGTACTCATCAGAGACAGAGAGAGGGAAAGTAAGAGAGCAAGCCATCAGGTTCAGGACTTGAACTGTGGTCAGCTGGTCAGCCATGTGAAAGTCCAGTACTTTAACCACCATGCCACCTACTGGCCCAACGGTGGTGGTTTAATTTGCAATCTTTGGTACAAAAACAAAACAAAACAAAACAAAAAACATGGTTGAGCATTCATATCTTTTAATAAAAAGACAAAAAAGATATAAGGGGCCAGACTATAAGTTCTAGGACGATTTTTCTTTTTTTAGAGAGATTTTTGCTATAGGGTATGTGTGCTCGCTAGAGAGACAAAGACAGAAAGCGAAAAATCACTTCCTAGATGGGATGGCCACACTGTAATCCTTTCTTTTCCATTGGCCTCTCAGGGTTTTGAGCACACATGCCAAGGTGTTTTTTAAGCTACCAAGTCCAGGACTTGACCACGGTTGACTATGTGGGAGTCCAGCAACATAGCCAGTATGCTATCTGCTGGTCCCACTAGGAACGTTTTTTAAAACCTGTATTTCTATTTAAAAAAAACAAAAACAAAAACAAAAAACTGTGCCATTTTCATTTACGTATGGTATACTTATTTTTTTAAGAGTTTTTTTGTTTGTTTTGTTTTGTTTTGTTTTTTTGCTATAAGGCAAAAAATATGTGCTCACCAGAGAGTCAGAAAGCGAGAAATCACCCCCCAGGGGGGATGGCTATGCCACAATCCCTTGTCCTTCATTCTCCTCTCTGGATCTTGGGCATGCATGCACAAGTGCTCAGTGTGAGTTTTAAGCTGCCGAGTCCGGGACTTGAACCACGGTCGACTACGTGGAAGTTCAGTGACGTAACTATTATGCCATCTGCTGGTCTCACATAGTACCATTTTAATTGTACTTCTTTCATTAATGCCTAAAGCTGTGGTGTGCTTATTCATATGGTTAACCAAGTCTACCTGGTCAGATTGAATACAAAATTATTTGTGACAATGTAACTATACGTAACTATACCAGTCCAAAATGCTACCTTCAGAAAATCTGGAGCATTTTCTTTTTCTAAAGAGGCTACTATGTATTTTATCTCTATTTTTTCTTGGTGAAAATAACTACTTGATAAGTGGTCTTGACTTCTATTGTCTTGAATCTGTGAAATCTCAACCATAGAAGCTTGGAAATACATTGTTTTCCTAAAGCGTTAGCTTTTTTTTTTTGAGAGGTTTTTCGCTATAAGGCGCGTGTGCTGGCCAGACAGAGAGAGACATAGAGACAGAAAGGGAGAAATCGCCCCCGAGGAGGGATGGTCACGCCGCAATCCCTTCTCCTCCATTCTCCTCTCGGGATCTTGGGCACGCACGCACACGCGCCCGGCGTGAGTTTTAAGCCATCAGGTCCAGGACACGAACCGCGGTCGACTACATGGGAGTCCAGCGACATAGCCATTACGCTAACTGCTGGTTCCCTTTGTGTTTTTTTTTTTTTTTTTTTTGAGAGAGGTTTTTACTAGGGCTATAAGCGCATGTGCTCGCCAGACAGACAGAGAGAGAGACAGAGAAACAGAAAGCGAGAAATCATCCCCCGGGGGGGATGGCCACACCACAGTCCCTTCTCCTCCATTCTCCTCTTGGGATCGTGGACACACACTCACACGCACCTGGCGTGCATTTAGGCCACCAGGTCCAGGACTCGAACCGTGGTCGACTACTTGGGAGTTCAGCAACATAGCCATTACGCTAACGACTGGTCCCGCCATTGTGTACTTCTTCAACAATAACGAAAGGGCTCATCAGAAGGAAAGGAGGGAAAAAAGGGAGAAGGAAGAAAATAAAAAGGAAAGAGAGAGAAAGAAAAGGAGGAAGACAGAAAGAGAGAGAAAATGTGAGAGGGAAAGGAAGGAGAGAGGGAGAGGAGACATCTGACAATATACCAGTATAATTTGAGCGTGTTGCATGTATTAATAGAATTCAGTGGCCATTGTGATAGGTAAAGACGAAAAATACGCTCTTTTCAAAATTTTTTTTTAGAATTTTATTTATTTATTTAATTTATTTTCATTCATTTCTTTTAATTTGACCAGAGAGGGACAGTGTGTGTGGGGGGGTGGGGAGTGAGATAGCAAGCCGGGTCCAGGACTCGTACCGTGGTCACCCTTGTGGGAGTCCAGGCCCTTAACTGCTACGCCGCCTATGCCGCCTGCCGGCCTCAAATGTTTTAATACAATTTAAAATATTCATGGCAAAGATTATAAACTTTAAGACCCTACATCTTTTGTTATTGAGTATCTCAACTCAAATAACTAATATTTTGAGTAGTGTTTTATGTGACAGTAGTATTTATGTATAGTCTGCTTTTTGTTTTCTTTTTTTTTTTTTTTTTAAGAATTAAAGACTTTCTTACTACATTTTTTTAAAACTCAGGATATGTTTATGTGGACTTTCTCTGGAATTGAATTGCATGTGCGATTTCTGTGCAATTGCTTTTTCTGGTTCCTATTTATGTGCTTTAATATAACATTGTTCTCCTTTCCTTTTCCCCCTTAACCGAAGTGTGTGAGGTAACAGGAACATTTCTTTGGAGAGACTTCGGGAAGTTGAAATTTGCCAGATGTTTGGTGCACACCCGGAAGGGTGCTCTCCCTGGGTACCAGGACTGTGCGAAGTTCGTTCCCATTTACTAGGACAACATTATGGTGTCGTGCTTCTACTCCAATGAGAGCTTGTCTTCTAGTCTGTATTTAAATGATAGTACGGCATCCAGAAAATCTGGCAAAGAAAATGATATTTTGATGACATTTTTCATAGGGCTCAACTAGAATGAATTACTACATTTTAACCGTGGACTTAATAAACAGCTCCTTTATTTCCCCTGGAAGGATACAATATTCCTTTGTCCAAGAAGTTGCCTGAGTATATGTATTGTTGAAGTGCTAAGAAGCTGCTTTTCTCTAAACTTTAGCTCAGAAACAGTGGGATTTACTAAGCATATGTGACATAAAATATTTCAGTGTAACTCATTATGTTATAATGGTGGATTTAGATTTAAATTTCAAAGTAAACATTTTTATCTTAAGTAGAGAAATGTTATGTAATAGCCCTATTTCCTTGTACAAATTAATCATTTCTATGTGACTTCCATTTATCCTCCAAATAATCTGTTTTGAGTTCTTACTGTATCATCTTTGGCACCCCTCCCCCCAGCCTAAAGGAATTTTTCTTGTAGGCCCACAACCATGAGTCTGTACTCTTAAGTAGAAATGCTTATTGATCTGGGTTTCTGAGTAGGTTGGGTGTTTTGTTTCCTGAGAAGAGGGGAACGTTTCTTGTTTAATTAGAGATTCCTGAGTGCTAGTGGCGTATACTAATGAATACTCACGCATTACCCAATCTAGCTTTTGCAAAGAAGCAAAATGAAATGTTTTTCTAGACCATTTCTGAGCATGTTGTTGAGGTTATACTCTGTCCATTGCTGCTGACACATGTTTTGAAAGGAGGGATGTCGCAGGGAGCCAACTTCCTGAGGGAGCCTTGGGGAAGGTCATGCTTTGCTGTGACCTGGGTTCCATTCTTGAATGTTGTTATTATTGGGAGACGGTGCCCTCAGGCACACCCCTCTTCTCCCCAGAAGTGCTCTGGGACTGACTTTCCAGTTCATCTTTTCCCGAACCAGGACCCTCCCTCGAGCTTTGGCTCGTGGTTTCACAGTGACTTCTGACATCCACAGACTAGTGTCTGTCTCCCCTTCATTTGGCTACTTAGTTTAATCACTAGTAACAGCCACCCCTACTGTATAGGAGGACCAAGAATCCTTGTGGAAACTGCTGGTTTAGAGCAGTCAGCTACTAGGGTGAACCTTTATGTTTCCGAGTCAGTGATGTATGCCTTGTCACTTCAAATACCTTACGCATTTCCTTTTTATTTCTGTGGAATCTCTGTTACCATTTTAGTAGTCTTAGCTATAAATAACTCCGAGGACAGCACCATTGGATGTCAAGTAGAATCTTTATTTCAGATTAATATTTATGCCAGAATATTGTAGACTCAACTATGTGCTTTATTTTGAGTATTAAAGAAAATGAACTGTTTCCCAACACCTGCCTACCAACTGGGCCTGTATCCTCTTTAGAAATGTTGTTTAATAAACACTGTAGTTTTACCATCCAGAAGCTGTGGCCAAATGCGGTTAATTAGGCCAAAAAAATTGTTTTTCATAGGTTCGTGAAACAGATCCACTTTTCTCTCTGTAATGGCATCTTAGCTTGAAATCCAGGAGGCGGTGGTGTATGGTGTCCATATCCATAATTTCCTGAACTGGAGAAAAAGTGTGGAAAGCATCTGGGGGAGAGGAGGCTCGTTACCAGCTTGTTTCCTGTAAGTTCAATTGGAAGACCTTGTCTGTGCAAATAGATTTCAAAATAGAGCCTGCCCTTTGACTGTCTCCATAATTACATGGCTCGCTCTGTATTTTATTTGGCAGCCAGAGCAGTTAACCCCTGGAAGGCAGGGCCGATGGCATGGCCAGCTTGGCTTCCCAGACATGTCCATGGGAATGAATAAACCACTGTTTGGAGAGGCCCATAGCTGAAAATATACTAGAATAGTCTTTAACTGAACTCTAACTTTTTAAAAGCAAATCTAATAATGTTTATTAGGACTGGTTAAAAAACTTTGCCCTTATTGTATAGATCGTAGAACAGTATTAATTATTTTTTTAAAGTGGGAATTGGGAGAGTTTCTTATTGTTTTGATGTAATCAACCTCTGTGACAGAATGAACTTGCTTTTGTTTAGTTTCAAGAGCCCTTATGCTTTAGCTTTGCCCAATCAATACCTGCCTCAGCCCTGGGCATTCCCTGGCTATGTATGAGTTTTTCTCTTCCACAAATGCACAGGTTATTTCTTGTGAAATGAGAGCTTCTCATCTGCTTCAGAGGTGGCTTGAAATAGGAAGTAACCTTCAATCTTTCTCATTTACTTTTGAAACATGTACACCTTAGAGCTTGAATACAGAATCAGTGGAAGAGTTATATCACGTGTTGCAGACTATTTAATTTTTCATTCACAACATTTGCCCAAGTTATGAAACCTGTCAAGCAGAGAGTCAGTGTTTTAGGTCAAGCCATGTGAGGTGTGGGTGCATCTGCGGTGTTCTCTTGGACCAGAAGCCTGAAGCACACAGCGCTGTAAGGGCCTGTACTCCTACTCTGGGTAATTGGTTGGAGGTCATGAAGTATGATCTTTTGTGGTTGTAAATCAGCACCTTGGAAATGTATTCCCCTGATACAATCCCTTCTGAGCTTGCTGTAGGAAGCAATAGTTGGTTGTTTTTTTTTTTTTTTTTAATAGTTACAAGTGTATCAGATTGCTGTCCAAAGTAAGTTACTTCTTATTCCCCACCCCACCCAACCCCCCTTATTTTTTTGGTTAATGTGTTATTTAAGCAAATCATTTGCTTTAAAATTAAGATCATCAATGAGTGCAAACGCCATATTTGAAAATCAATTAGCAAAGAACATTGTTGCTTTCTTCCTTGGTAATCATAAATCATTTAACTCTGGCAGCCATTCCTCCCTTCATCCAAAATAATTGCCTCCATTTGTAAAATCAATTAGATGTTAATATGCTATAAATAATAGTTTTGTTACTAGACTTTGGCATTTGCTGATCATTATGAAAAAATATGTTCAGTGAGACATTTTACAGGGTGTCTTTTAAATGACCGATTATCTCTGGTTGACATTGTTAGCTAATGTAAAGTAGTGCCAGGCTACTTTATTGTGATGTTTTCTACACAGATATTTGATACCTTTGAGATCTAACATGACTGAGGATTGATGGCACGCTGCAGGGTGAAAGTGCTTCTCTGGAAATGTACAGTGAAAAATATAGGTATGAGTAGCCCACGCTTGAATACAAATGTACTTTGTTCAGTTTTACAGCTACTTAAAATAATAAGCATTTTAAATGTGTCTTTGAAAGTTCATTCAGGCCTGTCCCTTAAAAATACTTGTTGACCGAAAGAAAACACATGTTCAGGGGTAAAATCGGCTTAATTAAGGGTCATTAGTAAAGGTGCTCAGAAAAACCCAAGGCTCAGTGGGTGGACTGGAAGTGTTTCATTATGTGGTATAGAATCCACAAGCAGATAACAATTAAAATGGACCCTGAGTAAGAGGCCAATAAACAGAGGGCACGTCGTGTGCGTGTGCAGCAACATGAGTTATTTCAAATGCATTCCTCCCTCCATCATACTCCAATTCTATAATCCCACCTTTCAGACTTCATCTGTAAAGGGAAGTAAAATCCAGCTTTTAGAAACTGATGTTGTTACTGAATACGAAAATATTTAAAGCTGTAATCTAGATTTGCATTCCAAATATAAACTTAAAATATGAAAAATGTGCTGCAGGTTCCGGAGAACATGTAACAATTTCAGGAGATGTTTAGGCCACACAGTGCTCTCCTCTGTGCAGTGAAAGAAGCAGTTGCCTATAATTTTCAGTGTTCAGCTTAAACTAGGCGCTGATAGGATTTCTGCGACACTGAAAATAACTCTTATTATTACCTTTGATAACAGTAAATACTCTAGTGTTCCTAACAAATAACGTATAGATTTACTGCCTAAGAAAGCCCTATATAGAGTTTCTGTTACGTAATCAACGGGAACAACGCTCGCTATGATCATCTCTTTCAAGAGACAGTTAACACAGAGCAGCTCCTTGCTGCTCTGGGCTCGCCTCTCTCCTGAGCTCTCTGCTGATTTCCCACTGTCATCTCCTAAACTTCAGACTGGTCTGGTTGCCCCTTGTGGTAATTAGAACACGCCTGCATCTTGTTTCCCCAAAATGGCTTTTCTGAAAGGGTTATGCCCAGATTCTGAATAAAAGACAGGAGGAAGAAGACTGAGGCCAGCCCCGTAGCACCTGGCTGGCTTTCCTGCCTTTGACAAGCGCATTATCATGTGTCAAAATAGTTTAACATTGATGGTACCAAGTTGGGAGTGAGGTGTAGTTATAAAGTATCAGCAGTGCTTTCAAAAAAAGGGGTGGGGGGAACCAGCAGTTAGCATAATGGCTATGTCACTGGACTCCCATGTGGTCGACTGTGGTGCAAGTGCTGGATCTGGTGGCTTAAACTCATGCCAGGCACATGTGCATGCATGCCCAAGATCCTGAGAGGAGAAAGGAGGAGAAGGGATTGCAGCATGGTCATTCCCTGGGGAGATGATTTCTTGCTTTCTGTCTCTCTGTCTCTTTCTGTCTTTCTGGTGAGTGCAGGGAGGGACAGCCAGAGGCAGTGATTAAGGTGCTAGACTCCCACATGGTTGACCACTGTTCAAGTCCCAGAGCCAGCAGCTTGAAAATCATGCTGGGTAGGTGTGCATGCATACTCAAAATTCCGAGAGGAAAATGAAGGAGAAGGGATTGCAACGTGGCCATCCATCTGGGGGTTCATTTCTCATTATCCCTCTCTCTGTGTCTCTCATTGAACCTTGGTGGGGGGGTGATTTCTTGCTCTCTGTCTCTCTCTGTCTTTCTGGCAAGCGCATGTGCCCTATAGCAAAAACCTCTCCAAAAAAAAAAAAAAGAAGAAGAAGAAGAAAAGAAAAAAAGGGAGGGACAGCCGGAGGCAGTGATTAAGGTGCTAGACTCCCACATGGTTGACTGCTGCTCAAGTCCCAGAGCCAGCAGCTTGAAAATCATGCTGGGGGGACCAGCAGGTGGCATGGTGGTTAAGGCACTGGACACTCCCACATGGCCAACCATGGTTCAAGTCCTGGACCTGGTGGCTTGCTTTCTAACTTTCTCTCTCTCTCTCTGTGCCGCTCTCTGGTCAAATTAAAAATGAATAAATAAATAAACTTAAATAAATCTTTTTTAAAAATAAAGAAAAAAGAAGAAAATCATGCTGGGTATGTGTGCATGCATACTCAAAATCCCAAGAGGAAAATGAAAGAGAAGAGATTGCAGCATGGCCATCCATCTGGGGGTTCATTTCTCATTTTCCCTCTCTCTGTGTCTCTCTGGCAGGCAGACGAGCCCTATGGCAGAAACCTTAAAAAAAGATAAAAGAAAAACATGGGAAACTCAACAGACCTTTCTACAATGCCCTATATCAGATACTGAAGTTTGGATAATCCTTTCTGTGTCCTTGATTATAATGGAGACTGGGTATTTACATTTTGCTCACTCTGCATTTAGAAAATGTAATTACTGGGGCCAGCAGGTGGCGTGGCGGTTGGGGTGCTGGACTCCCACATGACTGACTATGGTTCGAGTCCTGGACCTGATGACTTACCTTCTCATTCTCCCTCTCTCTCTCTGGTCAAATAGAGTAATAATAATAAAATAAATAAAATTAAACTAATTCTTAAGAAGAGAACATTTAATTACGGTTATACTTTATGAATTACAATATGATAAACAAAGTTGAGGATCTCCCCTACTCCCCTTTTTTTGCCAAGTTTATCAGAGAACCATTATTTCTAGAGGAACCATGTCTGAAACACATCTCTTATTTCATCTGTAAAATTATTTTGGATGAAGGGGGAATGGCTGCCAGATTTAAATGATTTATGATGACCAAGAAAGAAAACAACAACAAAAGATTAGATTCTTTTTTCTGGTTTGTAATGAGTAGTTAGTGGAATCAACACGGTATGGTACCTTATCATCCTACTACTTATAACAACATTTATAGGGTGTCTTTTATCAGATTGAAAGAAAAGATTTCACTTCAAATACAAAAATATCTTATGAAAGTGGATTGCCGAGTATGCTGCAGAACCCTAATTGTCAGCAGATTGGAGCTGTTCAGACGTGCTCCGATGATGAGAATGTTGCCATGCAGTCACGTGTGGGTATGCCTGCATCTTTTCAGCAGTGAGCCTGCCCGTCACTTGGCCGACAGGCACCGTGACAGACAGCGCTGTTCATCCTAAAAGTCAATGTCTCAAAAGCCTCATCCAGAGATCCTAGTAGGGCCTGATGACTTCATGCTTCAAATCTAAGTACATAGGGAAGAGTCCCCAGAATGCTTGTATACTTGAACTTGATAATACTGATAAAGATGCTGTCCCTTTCATGTAATCAGCCACAGTGGAGAAAAGTCTTCATGAGCCCTAGAATTGATCAGAGACCACGTCATCCCATGGCCTGGGGTGTGGCATGACAATCAAGTGTTTCTGAGCAGAGGAACAAATGTGAGAGTTGAAGGGACCACAAAGATTTCATTTTACGCAGCTCCTGTGTCCATGGTAACATTGTGGAGTGCTCGGCACACAGCGCGGCACCACGAGGCTCTTGGGCTGTCAGTATTCGCTGTTTGCGCTCGAGGTTCCACAGTTATTCTTGGCAGGACTCATCGCCAAGAAGAGTAGTGCTAAGACTGATAGAGCATTTGCTGAGATAACATATTTATGCAAACTAACTTTAAAAACCATCATTCTGGGACCAGCAGTTAGCATAATGGCTATGTCGCTGGACTCCCATGTAGTCAACCGTAGTTCGAGTCCCGGACCCGGTGGCTTAAAACTCGCACCAGGCACGTGTGTGTGCGTGCCCAAGATTCTGAGAGGAGAATGGAGGAGAAGGGATTGCGATGTGGCCATCCTCCCTGGGGGGTGATTTCTCGCCTTCTGTCTCTCTGTCTCTCTCTGTCTGGTGAGCGCATGCGCCCTATAGCAAAAACCTCTCAAAAACAAACAAACAAACAAAAAAAACATCATTCTGAGGGGCCAGCAGGTGGTGTGGAGGTTAGAGTTGCTAACCCATGTGGCCGGCTTCATGGTTCAAGTCTAGGACCTGGAGGCTTGAAATTCATTCTGGGCCCCAAATCCTGAGAGAATGGAGGAGTTGCTGTGTGGCTATCCCTTCTGGAGGGTGATTTCTCACGTTCTCTTTCTCTCTCTCTAGTAAACACACACTCCCTATTGCAAAACTGAAAACAACACAAAACAAACCGTTATTTGGGTCAGCAGGTGGGGTGGAGGTTAGGGCACTGGACTCCCACATGGCTGACTGTGTTTCAAGTCCTAGACCTGGTGGCGCTCACTCTCTCTCTCTCTCTCTGTCTCCCCAGTGAGCCCTATAGCAAATTAAAATAATAATAAATAAAAATAAGTGAATAATGATAAGAAAAGCACTTCTTTTGGTTTGATTGAGCTTTATATTCAAGCTTATTGAAGAACATAATTGAGTGAGACTTAGGACTGGGTCACTGAGCATTGCATTGCAGTTTGTTTGCATCAATAACTTCTCCCAACTCAGTCAGAGATCCTGAATTGCAGAGCCAGAACTCACCTGCAGTTCATGTTTCCGTTCTGTTTCACACCTGAACCGCCACCCCAGGCCAGTAGTTCTTTCTTTAAAAAAAAAAAAAAAAAAGAATTATTTTACTTAATTTCATTTACTCATTCATTTATTTTAATTTGACCAGAGAGAGACAGAGACAGAGAGAGAGAGACAGTGAGAAAGTGAGCCACCAAGTCTGGGACTTGAACCATGGTCAGCCATGTGGGAGTGTCTAGCACCTTAATCACCATGCCACCTGCTGGTCCCCAGGCCAGTAGTTCTTAAGCTGTAGCGTGTGTCCTCCAGATCTCCCTGAGGACTTGTTAAAACACACGATGCTGGCCTCGCCAGAGTTTTTGAGCCAGATAACAGAAGGGGTCCAAGAGTGTGCCTCTTTTTCCCATGAGGTACTGAAGCTGCTGGTCTGGGAACTCCGTTTTGAGAAGCAGTGTTCTAGATCGACAACCTTCTTCTATAAAAAGGTCAAGAGGTATTTTAGACTTTGTGAGCCATATGGTCTCTCCACGCCTACTCGACTCTACCACCATAGTTCAAAACTTGCCATCAACAATTATAAGCAAATAAGAGTAGCTGTGGTCTACTAATCCTCTACTTATGGACACAAAAATTTGGACTTCATATAATTGCATGTGTTACAAAGTATTTTTATTTTTCTAATCATTTATAAATGTAAAACTTATTTGTAGAGCTCAGGGTCTATAAAAATAGGCAGCAGAGGTCTAGCCAGGTGGTGTGGTGGTTAAGGTGACTGGATCCCACATGACCAACTACGTGGTTCAAGTCCCGGACCCAACAACTTAAACACCAGGTGTGTGTGTGTGCACGCGCACGCCCAAAAATCCCAAGAGGAACTTGGAGGAGAAGGGATTGCAGAGTGGCCATCACCCCTGTGGGATGATTTATCACTTCCTTCTATCTTTCTCTGTCTTTCTCTGTTAAGTGTACATGCCCTATAGCAAAACTGAAAATAATAATAATAATAGTAGGCAGGAGGTTTCAATGATTGGTGTGGTTAAGACAACTGGATCACACATGTCCAACTGTTTGCTTCAAGTCCTGGACCTGGTGGTTTGAGAAACATGCCAGCCTTGTGTGCCCAAAATCCTGAAAGGAGAAATGGAGAAAGAATTATGATATGGCCATGCCCCATGTGGAGGGGGTGCTTTTTCACTTTATCTCTCTCTTTCTCCTGTGAGTGCCACATGCCCTCTGGCAAAATTATTCAAAAAGAAAGAAAGAAAGAATCAGGCAGTAGGCCTAGCACAGTAGCACAGCAGTAGTGGCAATACCACAATGCTGAAAGCCATGTGGGAGGTTGGGGTCTGGCTCCTGGGTCAGTCTGCACACGCTAGGTGTGCATGTACACCTGTGGTTCTGGCTGAGGGGCCCGAAAGGCTGCGGGGTCAGGGAGTTTGTGACATGAGACCCCATTGAGGTTCTTTCTCTCTTTCCGCCCTCTGCCAGAAGAGGATAAAGGAAAGGAAAGGAGGAAGGATGGGAGGGAGGGATGAACTTAAATTCTGACTGTAATCATCCTGATCAGGGAGGGATGCCCTAAATCCCCAGAGGAGAATGGAGGAGAAGAGATTGTGGTGTGGCCAACCCCTCCGGGGGGGTGATTTCTCACTTTCCCTCTCTCTCTCTGTCTTTCTCCAGCAAGTGCATGTGCCCTATAGCAAAAAACTTATTTTAAAAAAAAAAAAAAAAGTAAAAGTAAGTGAATGGTGTTTACAAATCTAACACTATAGAAGAAAATAAAATGAATCAAAACCTTTGATCTCAACCCGATAAAAAACCAGAGATAACCACTATTGATGAATGATCGGTTTCCAGAAACTTTATAGGCATGTACAAACTTATATAGCTACATAAGTTCTTTTTATATTAATGACTTTTTATACATATTATTTAACATTTGCTATTTTTCTAATAATATATTGTGACCTGTTTACATATCGATACACACAAATGATTTAGCTTATTCCTTTAAGAAATTATTTAATTTTATTTATTATTGTAATTTTTTAATTTTGCCAAAGAGAAGGGGATCTGGGGGGAAATGAGAAAGCAAGCTGCCAGTTCTGGACACCAACTATGGTCAGCCATGTGGGAGTCCAGCACTCCTGCCAGCCCCCTTAGCTTATCCGTTCTAATGACTCTGGAGTTTTCTGTTGTATGTATATACCATGCTGTATTCAACCAAATTCCCTATAGACAACTTCCCATTTTTTCCTACTGCAAACAATGCTGCAGTGAGGATATATCTTCTTTTACTCATCATTGTATAATATCCACAGGGTAGAGTCCTTGGAGATGAAATGTTAAGTCAAAGGATAGGTGCATTTAAAATCTTGATCAATATTTCCAAGTTCCTGCTGTGGATATTTTAGGATCCTGTGTTCACTTTGTTTTAGGGTTACACCTACATTTTTGCTACTTAGGCTCTATCTGACTTGAGCATTCAGCACAAGGCATTTCAGTATAATGACTCACCGCACGTGAACTTAACACAGAGTAGTCATCCTATGGAGGGCAGAAAGTGCAGCTGGCAATTTGTTCGTGATTCTTGAAAGGAAAACGGCTTTCAAGAATATAAAGCCATCAAAACAGTGCCCTGAGTCCAGGGTCATCGTGGACACGGCTACATACGGTACCACAGCAGGGATTGTTCTTTTTACCGACCTGGGCAC